GATAATCTGGCCTTCCCCCCCCCCCCCCCCCCAACAAGGACCTGATCCAAAGCTCAGTAAAGGCCAGGGAAATTTCATTCTACATGTGTAGTATCTTAACAAATCCATTGCAAACCCCTTTTTGTCCATAGAAGTCAGTGCTATAAAAAGGCTTTCCCCTATTAAATCCGTTAAATTTGCTTTCACACATTATGAACGCAGTACTGTTGAAGATCTGGAAATTCAAATAATGAGTCTAATCCTGCAGCAAACCTGTAGTGAGCAGACAACTCTATCCACACACAGCTCAGTTACTTTAATCAAGGTCCACTCATCTGCAACAAATAGCGAAGTCTAGAACAGCATCGGGAAATTCAAATTTTTACCATTTATAAAGTCAACATTTTCATTAGTCTAGCAGACACTAAACTTCCTTTCACCTATTCTCATTTCTTTTTTTCCCCAATAGACTTAAAATAAAGCATTTTTGAATATTATGTTCTTTCAGGACATAATATGTCCCCTTCTTACTGTCATAACTCCAGGCATCTCCTTAGCTTCAGCATGCTTACATCTATGCTCATGTGCCACTGGATAAACAGAGTAGGGCTTACCTCTTTTCCCTTCAAATACTGCTCAAAAAATGACTTAGCGCACTACATGGGTACTTCCTGGCTGTACTTTGCTATGTAGACTATCTTGTTGCTTTTCAAATACAGTTTTATTAGTTTCTATTAGCATGTAGAAGACTGAAAAATGTGTTTCTCATTGACTGCCACTACTTATACTATTCTTACCTCTATTTGATGGGCAGGAAAGATACCCATTGTTGCTACTACTTCCTAAACTCTTCTTTGTCAAAGAAATATTTCTGTCCTAAATTCTCTTCAAGGCTTGCATGCCAAGCTGGTTATCACAGTATGAGCATGGTGCTAAACTGCCATTGAGCTTCACTGCATATGCTTGAAGTTAAAAGATTCATCAAAAGGATCCTATGTTTAACTAATTTAATTTACTATATAAGATGGATTCCTATCCAAATAATATTCCTTACAAGTACAAGCTTTTGTCCACTTGGAGAGTCAGCTCTTGCCCTCCTTTGCTCTTCCTGCATTGCAGAGTCATCCTAATAGACTTTGTCTTTGGTCTCAGCTGAAGAGGAAAGCAGAGCCAGCCCAGAGCTCGCAGACAGGTAGGTCAATCTAAAGATCTAACAACCTGCTCCGCCATCTGCGACAGGCACCCATCGCTGCCCAGCCGGGACAAATGTAAGAAGAGGAGTAAAGGCTCCCCCAGCACCCTCCCAGCCCTGAGCTACAAAGGCATGGCTCAGAGATCCTCTGAATCAAAGGACCTACCTCTGTGTTTAATAGCCCTAAGGAGATTTTTCTTCCATTAATTTGCCTAATTATTTTGCTTCAGATTATTTGCTTTTGAATTTACAGATGCATTTGGCAAGCAGCTGCCAGGAACATTTTTTGGATACTTGTTTAGCACAGGGGATATGAACTGGTACCTTGGGGCTGAACATCTTCCTGGTTATTTCCAATTAACAGAGAATATGGTAGTTACTCATAACAATACATTCTTGTGGAAATGTCCAGGAGTTGCTACAAAGAGGTCCTACCACACATCCAGCACCCTTGGCTAGTGTTAAAGGCAAATGA